GCACTATTTTGGGAGTAACTGCGAAAGAGTAACCATGCTCTCGCTTTTACTTTTTAAAGGAGTAACAGTTAGCAAAAGAAAAATTAAGTTTTGCCGGACTTAACAAGCCTTTCGATGTGCATTCTGGCATTTGATTAGATATGTGATCGATGTGCAAGAATCGCAATCAGAAATGCTGTTTGGGTGGCAAAATATTTACATCCCATTTACACTGCATCGTTAGACGCTGCAGTTATTCCTGATGACTGGCGCTCGGCAAAAATAATTCCGGTACATAAATCGGGCTCCACTTTGGACGTTAACAATTACAGGCCTGTTTCCTTAACTAGTAATTGCTGTAAATTATTTGAGCACATTATATTTAAGGCCATGATCACTTACTCAGAAAATAACAAACTACTGTATGCCCAGCTGCATGGATTTAGGTCTGGTTTGTCGACCTTCACCCAACTGGCTGAAATAACTGATGATTTAATTAGAACGCTTAATTTGAAAGGTCAAACCGATGCTACGTTTCGGATTTTTCTAAGGCCTTTGACGTCGTACCCCATCAGAATTTAATAACAAAATTATTAGCTATAGGCATTGAGCAGAAGGTTGTAGCATAGATCGCGAGCTACTTGAGTAACAGAAGACAGTGTGTTACCATAAATGGCTGTCTCTCGAAAGAGTTGGCAGTGCATTCGGGAGTTCCGCAGGCTCAGTCCTCGGACCTCTTCTTTTTTTGGTTTATATTAATGATATTTATTTTTGTGTCGAGCCACCGATCCAGATTAAACTGTTTGCGGACGACTGCGTAGTGTACACATCCATAAATAACCAAGAAGACCAAATTAAACTTAATGATGCCTTGCGCTCAATTAACGATTGGTGTATAATGTGGGGACTAAAAATAAATCGTTCAAAAACAAATTCCGTCACGTTTACCAACAAAACGTTACCCCTTCATTGCACATATTACATAGGGAATGCTGCAATCACGAGAGCTGATCGGGTTAAATATCTGGGAGTTACATTTACCAGTAATCTCAGTTGGGAAACGCACGTTCAAAATGTGTGTTCGGGTGCACTGAAGAAATTATCTTTTTTGAAAAGAAAACTACCTAACACTCCTCCCACGTTAAAACTAAAAGCGTATAAAGCACTCGTGCGACCAAAATTGGAGTATACCGACATTATTTGGAGCCCTTGGCAACAATATTTGATTAACAAAATAGAAAGGGTCCAAAATTTAGCTATGCGCTTTATATATTCCGCTTACTCCCGACAACATAGTGTAACTAATCTACGTAATAGGGCAAGCCTACAAATACTAGAACAGCGCAGGACAATATCCAGATTAAAATTCGTCTACCAACTTGATCACGGGGACATTAAATTATCACGGGAACGATACCTTCTGCAGCCTTCTAAACTTTCAGCTAGGACAAATCACAACAAAACGTTTAGGCAGCCACCCAGCCACGTTAATGCCCAAAAGTTCGCTCTCTTTCCTCGCGCAATTTTTTATTGGAACGCATTACCTGCGGAAGTAGTGAATGCTGCCTCGACGGCTCCATTCACTCAACAGATATAAAAGATTAATTTCACCTTATAAGTGACGTATGCTGAAAATAGTGTCATTTGAGTGCAATTCATCCGGCTACAAATGTTGAAAATATTCTTAGTTGTGCGCAGTTCTGTTGAACAGCGAGAAAATATATTTGAATTTTCTGTACTTGATAGTTATGTATTCTTTCATTTATGCCCTGTACTCCAGTGTCTTACTAGTTATTACTTGAATGTATTGTTTGTATCCCACTCCTGCATGGGCCCGGGTAGGACCTGCAGTATCTGTAATTAAATAAATAATAATAAGAAATGCATTACAGAAAATTTGCAGCACACTTACGGTATTCGCACTCACGACCACACAGTCAGCATGTGCGTACACTAACCACTACACCACACCACGCTACGAAACCGTCTGAAAGAAAACAGGCTTGTGGAGAAACCAATGAGTCGTTTGCACACGGTGCGAGCATTCGTGCAGTTACTGCAAAAAAAAAAAAAAAACGGACGCTTTGCTCCATGAGGAGGAAAGTGCCCCTCCTTGCCGTACCATGTGCAATCTTTTCCGCACATTTTTTTTCTTTTGAAGACTTAAGAGCCCTTTTTGAAGTAACTGCACAGTTCTTCCGGAAAACCTTTTCAGAGTGTAGTGAACAAGAGGCATGCAAGACGGCACCCCCCGGATCTGTACACAAGTGCACGAAATATTACTTGATTTCCCACGTGAGGCAGTGCATGAGGGGCTCCCTCCCCCATGACACCAAAGCACACGCGAAGGCTATAGGCGATGGGTGAGGGCAGAGAAGCGGTTAGAGGCAACGATGGTAAACGGCTGTATCAGGCGGATTTGACTGGCATTGACAAAATAGAAGAGGCGTTGGTACGGCTAAAGATTACCGCCAAAAAAGCTCAGGAAGCTTAGAGCGTTCCTCAGCTAGCCTTCAGCGAGTTCGAAACTTAGGTTTGCTATCATCTGTCATTTCAGGTGGAGTAAGTTTTCGTAGCGCACTTTAGACAAGCTTGAATCAGTCACTCAGTAAGAAATTACTCTGTCTCCCCACTAAATGATATATATGAGTAGCATGCGAAGCTGCGCATGGGTCGAACTAAAGTTCCGTTCATCACGGGCACCTTGACCGATGTTAACGCGTTCCTGCAAGTGGAGCACACCACAAGTTCACTGTAGCTTCTGTTGCTGTTACTCGTCCCAAATTCTTGTCGGAGCATACCGTTAGTCGCCACGCCGCGCGGGAGCGCGTGAATTCAGCGCGCGTCTCATAATCCCGTTCTCCGGTGCCATCACAAGATTGCCGGGAGTGTAAGAGGAAGAGTCAGAGCCAAAACGCACCAGCGCGTGCCAGTGCGATCTGACTAGGATACAACGCGTTCGTTCATCGCACGTCTGCAGAATCTCGATCCACGAGGCCGTCACATGAATGCTTAGAGAGTGTAAAGGGGACAAGTCGCAGTGCCTTCACTGTCATAAAGTTCCCCAAAATTAAGTAGAAGGGACTCTGGCGCTGAGATCGTTCAGCGACCATGGGAATGGTGGGTAGTACTCAAGTTTGACTAGTCATACTTGCGGATGGCGAATGGTCCTTGTGGCTTCATTCATTGCTGTGGTTCAAAGTGAAGAACAAGCTCTCTTGAATTTAGTGACCCGATTTCGAATGGTAAGTCTAAAAAAATAATGTGGTGAAGCGCAACCACTAACATTTGCCACTGTCGTTTCGTGAGAAAAGAGCTCCAAGCCGCACGAACACACACGGAGCCATAAGTACGAAGATTAGACAAATCCGTCTACTACCCATAATTCCCATGCTCGCTGAAACGCCGTGCGTTGCAGCTCCCATAGACACTAGCGCCAGAATTCCCTCGGGTGGTCACGCCGCACACCACCAGATTGAACTCCGCCACAAGCTGTCTCGCATAGAAAATAATCTCTTTGAATAATGAATAATGGGCGCGAACAATTGAGTGAATCCTTGCAGCATGTTAAGCAGACGACGCGTAGCTTTAGTGGTACGTACGCCCTCAGGCACAACCAGGTAGGGAGAGGCGAAGGAGGCATTACGCATAGACATGCGTCAAAAGTGGTCGAACAGTCTACGATATCACACCCACACACCACTTTTTTTCCCTTGCCCTTGTCCGAAACATAAGCTGATTGCAGAAGGGCATAGTACTTATTTATTTAGTTTCGTATTATAAGGGCCCAAGGGCTTCACAAGGCGAAGTGATCTAACAACAATACATCAACCACTACAATTTTTCGCATTTGCCAACACTAAAAGTCACCTTGACCCACCTTGCTCTTCAGCCGCGTACCCATTGAATTAAATTTAAAATTCTGAAGCGACATTTGCGAAGAAACGTTGTAGTCGCAGAACCAACCCTCCAGCCTATCATTTTTTTTGACAGCAGCGTTTGAAACCTTCCTCCCTTTTCCATTCACCCCCCCCCCCTTTAAGGTCATTTTCGAATATCTTCTTCGTCAGGAAGTATCCCACAGTTCAAGAGGCTGTATAGAATAGCACGGCGTGAATGAAGAGGAGCCTCACGGTCACTATTTGCGGTGATGACACCACTTATTAGAAAACATTCATGCCCCGCCAGTAGACTCTTTCAGAAGAATCACTTTTAAGCTTTTTTGAGATCGCTTGGCTGTCGACGTTATTGCATGCTAACTCAAGCGCTTCAAGGCAATTTATGTTTTGTTTCTTTTATAAAACAGTGAGACTACTGGCTATGTCACGATAAAGAAAGAAAACACTCCATACAAGAATGGTTATATAAAAAATCCCTTAAAGAGTGCGTAGTGATAAACAGCACTAACGCCAGTTATGTAGACTAGGTATAGGACCGAATTTAGCTATTCGTAGCTTACGTTCACGTAATATTCCAAGCAAAACGTGGCATAAAATGTGCCATATGTGCTGAGTAACGTTACGAAAAGCTGCATCAGGCATGCTTTCTTTCTTTTTTTACTGCCCATGCTTTCATTTGTTGTCCTGCTTCCAACAAAACAGTTCGTTTGCGTTCAGCTGTTAACTTATTTGACGGGCGGAATCATTGCGTGTGCCAGCGAGTGAGGCAAACTTTGGCGTAGACACTCGCCTGGTGGGTCATATTGGCGTAGACCTCCCACGAAAGGTCTACATACACGTACACCTGCTGCGAAAAATCGACATAAGACTTTTTGTTGTGTAATGCAATTCTTTCCGAATAACATAATTTTGCAGTGTGCCCGCATGGTTTGCGTAACAGAGCACGCAAGCCTGGAGTGAAGGAGACGTATGCTTTACTGAATTCAATCACACCTTTTTGGTTCATAGGTGCATGGCCATTACGTTGTGTTGCATTGTTTTGACGTCCAATGCAAAAAGCTTTGCAAAAAAGTGACGCTTCTTTCGCTTTCTTTCTTTTGCATGGCCGCGCTTCTTTGTCAGTTGGAAAACAATATTGTCGTATCGGCAAAGGTCCTGGACTCCTTAATAAGAAGCCGTCAAGTGGGCACACAGGTAGGCAATCGTTATAGTGGTCAAGGAGAAAGCACATACCAGTAATGCAGTAAGTTGACCGAGTGAGTATTAATTCTAGTTGTTTGATTTAGCTCCAGATAATACAAGTACAGGAGAAGCACTACCCCGCAAGTGATCGAGTTAGTGTGCTTTCTAAGGGGTCATTTAAAAAACTCACGAGATTGTTAACAATGAGTGCTCATCCTGTCTTCGATCCTGGCTTTGTTTTATCTAGTGCTCGTAAAAAAGCAACCATGAAGCGTATTATCTTAGCGCAGTTTTGCTACGAAGTATCTGGAAAGTAATAATTATTAATATTATTAGAGGCTAAGTCACATCTTGAAACTCATATTTTGATGGCTAGGTTTTCTATTGTCTGCTGCATTTTATGTATCCCAAAGTTCGTTCAAACTAACAAAGAAACATAGAAGCCAACAAAATTAGTTACGTAGACTTTTGACAATAGCGGAATTTTCGTACCACGTGCTGTAGACGAGCTTGATTCCTTTCTGGTACACAAAGTTTTTCTTTGAGTAGCCACACTGAAATTTCTTCCATGCCACTTCATGGGAAGGACGAGGATTCGCCGTATCAACCAGAAAGTAGAGAAAGCGGTTTAAATGGGACTTTCCTCAGGTGGAAAAACCTGTTGTGCAACATTCTTAAGACGAGACTAACTTCTTTAGCAATGTACCTTATTTGAAACAAAATAAAATATTCGTACCTAATACTGCTTGTGTCCTGTTTAGTGAAAAACTACACGTTTAGGAGAATAGAAGAACCCTACTAAGGTCAATAAATTTTCAAGCCGCTGCCTTAACGCATCACTCTGCATGTCATCCATAACATCAAAAAAAGCTTTTCTTGTGGCTGCACAGACACGAGGTAACGTTCATAAAGACAACTGGTCCATCGTCTCCCACACACACACACACACACACACACACACACCACACACACACACACACACACACCACACACACACACACACACACACACACACACACACACACACACACCACACACACACACACACACACACACACACACACACACACACACACACACACACACACACACACACACACACACACACACACACACACACACACACACACACACACACACACCACACACACACACACACACACACACACACACACACACACACACACACACACACACACACACACACACACACACCACACACACACACACACACACACACACACACACACACACACACACACACACACACACACACACACACACACACACACACACACACACACACACACACACACACACACACACACACACACACACACACACACACACACACACACACACACACACACACACGCATGCGCCCACACACGCACACACGCACAGAGAGAGAGAGAGAGAGAGAGAGAGAGAGAGAGAGAGAGACCGGACAACAAAATAATTGTAAGGGGAGCTTGGTGGCGTAAAAGAAACAAGTGTGCGAAGTTGGCTAGATGCACCATATACATAAGAACATTCCAGCTGGTTTAGTTATCGGGCTACTGAGGTCTACCTCGACGCCAGGGAAGCGAGGTTTCATGAAGAAATGAAGGACCTATCAAATAAAATATTATGCGAGTTGCAAACACTATCGAAGTGGTATAAGTGAAGATTACATTGATATTGTGAAACACCCCAGTTTTGCTTGCCCTTCTAAACACTTCTGTGTTTATCTGTACTTCTGTACTTATCAGTACTAGTGCTGCTACTGCAAAATGGAGAATATTTACGTCACCCGATTATGTTGCGTGGTTTTCGGAAAAATCTGAAAGGCTTACGCGCCAATAAGTTTTCTAATAAGCAACATATCTATTATAGAGTGTTGCACTACAATCTGCGTTTGACGTTTAGCTCACTCTGCAAACACTATATTAGGATACGGTATGGGGAAGCAGACAATGCATTTCACTGTAAACAAGAAACTACAGTAACTGACACCTAAAAAGAAAGTGACCATAAGTTTTGGGGCTCAGTTGAACATACGAAGGCGTATGAGCACGCAACGAGACTGGATGCCTGCTGGGTTGCATTTCGTCTGAATTGCATGTGTTCTTGACTGCACATAACGGGTGGCTGAAATGCACATATAGATCGGAGTTCTGTCTTACCAGCTCCTTACTTGTCGATTTCGTCGCCTTCTTCTCCTGCTTGCCATAACAACAAATCTTTACACGAAAGGGGATATTAACATTGTGCTTTTCTCTTCTGCCGTCATACAGCAGAGTGATTATATGGAAGAATTATCTTATAAATCCGTGCAACTGTTTTCTTTCATTTGTCTCTTGCATGAGACCTATTCATTCACCGGGAGTGTAACGTCAAATATTCGGATACGATTAAAGAAAATAGTTGTTTCAAGCAAAGGAATTGCTAAAGAAAGACAACTTCGCACGTGGAACTAGCTAATGAATATGTTATGAAGAACGGAACAATGCACTGCAAAAGAAAGAATCAGGACTTTTGGGAAAAGTTAAAACCTCGGAAGACATGCATTCAGATTTCTAACCCTCATATTAGGCAGTTTTGAAGTTCTTGTGCTTCCGTACATTCCAAGTTGAAATAGGGGTATGATTCAGCTTAGCTTGCATGAATTATGTGTTGATCCACCAGGTATGTTAAGTTTCAAAGGCTGCGTCTTTTAATCTTAAGATTACGAATTGTCCTTTTGGTTAATAATGGTTGATATGAAAATGTACAGACATAAACGCATGTGCGTAGGACTAAAAACATATAGCTAGAGAGCACGCTGGCAACTGTTCACCTATGAGAGGTTCACAATGAAGGCCTGAACTTTAGAAACGATAAAATAGGAATGAAGGTTGGAGGTAGGATGAGCCAAATAGAAATAAAGAAACAAAAAGACAAAAAACTACGACTAAATAGGAGTATGAGACAAACAAAAAGGTCGAAATTTGACCCAGTGACGTACTTTCGTACTTTGATACTTTTCACAATCAGCTGCATCCAAGGAAGAGAACTATTGTTAACGTTGCAAATACGGGAGCCTAACCATGTGTCTCTGTTAGATTTGTGGGGTTTAACGTCCCAAAACCACTCTATGATTATGAGAGACGCCGTAGTGGAGGGCTCCGGAAATTTCGACCACCTGGGGTTCTTTAACGTGCACCCAAATCTGAGCATGTGTCTCTGTTGAGCAGGACGAAGAGGACATGGTGAGCCGAACTCTGCTACCGGTCAAGGCTTTCGTGTTCCTCGAGATATTCCCATTTTGTGTGGTCTTCGACGAGAACCTGACCATCACCAACATCGGCAACAGCCTGCAAGCCGTCATGCCCGCCGTGGTGGGAAAGCGGATACCCGAAGTGTTCGACCTCACCAAGCCCATGGTGGAGTGCTCCTGGAAGTCGGTGAGTCACGCCAAAAAAACAGGGCAAAGGTATACTTTGCTATACTGTTTTTCACTTAGCAAATACTAGCACGCTTTAGCCGACATCGGCTAACAGAGTCAATGAGAGCCAATATATAGGCAAAATTATGCATAAATAGCACATAATTTGGCAAAAAAGCCGGCAAAAATAATTTATTAGACAAGGCTTGCAGGAATAAGCGATTGTTAGCCAATATTTGACCAGCACGAAGCACTGTTGAACTGCCGCTCATGTCGTTTAGCGAACACTAATGTGTATTTAAGGTTACTCGCAATGGCTTGCAGTGGCGTCTTTCATTTCTGCTCAGGTTGTTGAGAACGACTACTTGCTGTGACAGCTGCACTGTCCTCCTTTATATTAAGCTTTGTTAACTGTGTGGCATGATAATTTGTGGCGTCGGCTGTGTAATGTCAGTTATATTAATTGCAAATGCTTTGAACGAGCACTTCTGCTCCGTATTCACAAATGACAATGACCCATTCTTGACAATACCTATTCTTGATGAGATTCCACCCATACGTCGTCTCGATGTGAATGAATTGGGAGTGCTGTGCATGCGTCTTGACATTGATGTAAAAAAATCGCAGGGTGTCGATAAAATACCGTATGCCTTCCCCCGTAGATACGTCAAATGGTGCGCCAAATATCTTTACATTATCTTCAAAAAATTGCTTTCACGTGCAGAAATACGTCACGTGCAGAAATAGAAGCATGCGAAATTAACCTATCCCTAAATCAACAGATAATTCACTGCTTGCCTCTTAGCGTCCTAATTCATTACTTTGCACGTCATCAAAACTCATGAAACACAATATATTAAAGCACACTTCAGGCTTTATTGAAAATAATGGCCTCTGTGATACCCGGCAACACGGCTTCCACTGCGGAAAATCAACTGTAACCCAACTACTGGAAACTATACAAGAAATTGCGGCAATACTGGAAAACAAAGGTCAGATCGACATATTATTCTTAAATTTTGAGAAGGCCTTCGACCGTGTATCCTATCAAAAGTTGTTATCAAAACTAAAACCTGTTCTAAATAATGACGGCTTTCTTCGATGGATGGAGGCGTATTTGACTGGTAGGCGGCAGACAGTTGTTGAAGACGCTAAATCTGTCTCATCTGGTGTGCAGTCTGGTGCATCATATAGATCAGTCCTAGGTCCTATACTTTCCTACTGTTAATAATTACATAATAAAACATACAAGTAAAAATTCGACTGTCTGCAGACGACTCTATACCTTACCGAAAAATTCGCAGCCAGGTAGATTAGGTTCTTCTCAATTCATCTTTATCCGTAATAGCTACATGGTGCTTAGAATGGCAGAAGAACCTTAACCTAAAGAAACAGTTTCAATGGCCATAACACGCAAAAAGAATTCATTACCCTTTGTATAAAGCATCAGCGGTCATAACTTATCGTTTGTTACTGAATATGAATATATTAATCTAGTTATCTCGTCGGACCTTAGGTGGAATAGCCACATAGCTTACATTTAAAATAAAGCCATGAAAAAGCTTGCATATCTGAGGAGAACCTTGTCTAAATGCACGAGTAACAAAATTATTGGCAGACAATACATACATTAGGGGACTGTAGAATCCTGTTCCTGTCTGGGGTCCGTACAACCAATCAACCACAAGAAAAATCGAGAGGATACAACGAAAATCAGTCAGACTCATTTTCTATTCCTATCATCATCAAACATTCGTAAGTGCTTTACTACAAGACGCGAACCTTGAACCTCCGGAGACACGACGCCGTCGAGAAAGACATAAATGTTATACCCAATTCACCATGAACACGTTAAAATAGGCAAAGATTTGTAGATCAAACCGTGTGGCTGGCACCCTACTCGCTCATCTCATTCACTCAAATAAACTGAATATTCCTGCCGAACAAACACCTTCAGTCTTTTTTTCCTCATACCATCCATGAATAGAATATATTGCCTGAGTATGTACTGCAGAGCCCGACCATATCGTCTTTTGTCCATGCTCTTACTATGACACAAGGTGACAATCTATGACACAAGGCGTTTCAACACAAACATATTCTTTTTGTTACTGAGCTGAGTGCTCAGAAAGTAAGTGTGGTTTGCGCATTCATGTCGTGTTTTTTCTTTTTTTCCATTTCTTTGTCGTTACTTTCTTTAGCTACGGTTTGTCTCTTCTGTTCTGTTGTTCATTATCCATGTATTTGCTTGCCGGCATTTCCACCTGCAATACTTTGCGTTTTTCTATTTTGCACTGTTTCAAGTATTTCACATGCTGTAAAGACTGTTCAAGACAGATCTCTGAACATTCTTTTTTCTTTTTTTCCAAAATGTATATTGACAGTTTGTTACTTTTGTTTCTTTCAAATTTTTGTACAACCCACTCCTGTTTATGGCTGGCAAAGCAAGCCAGCAGTAATAAATAAATAAATAAATAAATAAATAAATAAATAAATAAATAAATAAATAAATAAATAAATAAATAAATAAATAACAAATAAATAAATAAATAAATAAATACATAAATAAATAAATAAATAAATAAATAAATAGGTAAATAAAATAAATAAATAAATAAATAAAATATTCATTGCAACATCATTTTCATTTGTGGAAGGAGACAGAAGATCAAGCCGTTTTTGCTGTTTGATGAAAGTCTCTCGGAGGGCAAGACTGTATGGTACGGCAACTTGAGGCGTGAATTACATGTTGTAGAGAGTCAATTTTTATAAACTGGAACATGCAATCGCGTGGCCTGTGCGCTCTGGCGGCCAATTGCAACGCGTTCAAGCGAGAACAGCATACACAGCCTCCCTTCGCGTAATCTAGTGGCGAGCTATACCTACAGTCATTGGTGATATGGAAGCGGCGGTAAGATTGCAACGTGCTCCCCTTTCACGGGGTTACCATTAATGACTGAAGGTTTGTTTCACCGCTAGATGGCGCAAAAAGAGGCTGTGCATGTTTTCTATCGCTCCCGCTTTAACGTCTTTAGCGCGTTGCAAGCAGCCAAATTGACACTGTACTTTACAGGGGTGGTTACTGTATTAGTAAGCTGCTTTTGGCTACAATCTCCACCATATGGCACAGCCACACACATACATACACGCGCACCCGTCTTTCTCTGGAGCCACAATCAATGAATGCTTATGCATTAGTATTTTCTGTGTCGTGTAATATGTGACCAATGTCACACGTTTCCCATCGTACACATGCTCTGGAGTCCTGGTGATGCGTCACTGTCGGCTAATGAATACGCTAACGCGGCCGCTCGAAAAGTCACCCTTCGAGCAGCCCCACGCAGTGAGGCGGCCAATACCTCACGGCGCTGCACCGGATTCACCTGGGCGTCGTCTTCACTCGTCACTACACCCATCTAATCAGGCCGTGCGGACTGCCCGGATTGTAAGCGCTGCCAAGTGCGCGAAATTTCAGCTTATATATTTTGTGACTGCCAATTATACGTGGCGCTAATAGAAAATGCTAACATCAACGTTAGCAAGCTTTGGACGAACGCCACTGTGTGAAAGCCACGTTTTGTCAGCAATGAGTGACCAGAGTCAAAAAATGCTACAAGTGCTGTTTTAGACTTTATCAAAAGCACTAGACTAGATACTAGGCTGTAGGGTTCTATGCTAAGTGGCTATTGTATATACGCACCACCTCTTCTTATCCTCATAACCATCCTTCATTCCTCTTTCCTTTGACTTGGCCTATCCCCTGTGTAGAGTAGCAGGCTAGAGCGAACTATCTTAGGCCGACCTCTCTGCCTTCTAATAAATTCTCACTCACTCACACTTGACCAAGAACTAATTCATAGGAAGCTCACGCAAGAACACTTTCAAGTACACTGTTATTATGCTGCACTTGGGTATCATGCGTGCAGTGGAGGTTAACAATCCGGATATTCGGGATTGTTTGGTTCTTCTCCTAAATTCAGTGTACTGAAAACGGCATCTAAACCACAGCTGTACTAAGGCCGCTAGTCTAACACAGAAGGTGCCAGAAAATGATCTATGGCTACAAATGGAGGACCTTACTCATTAATAAACTTTTTGGTAGTGGTGTAGCGGTACACTTGTTAAAGTTTTCTTGGTTGTTTTCTGTCGAAGCAGTATTCATGCAGCAGGAAACCAAGTCCATGGGATATTGCTGTTAGACGCAGGGTTGCAAGCTGCCTTCAGGCTCCGTAGCTAAGAGAAAACTGATAGAGAAAGAGAGAGAGAGAAAGAGAGAGAGAAAGATGAAGAAAAGGGCAGAAGGAAAAGAGGTCATGAAGGGATGACTTTGTAGTTTCATTACACCGAGAAAAAGAAACACAAGAAATTGGCCACCTATCGGCATGCTTTGCGGCAAATGTCGTCAAAACACGATGGTGTTCTTTATGGAGGTGCTGCGAAAGGTATCAATGCCATCTGGCAGTTATATTGTAACGCGAACATCACATCCGTAACAATATTAAGAAACAAGAGCTTGTACAGAACCGAGGACCACTGGCAGGTGGCCGGAGCGAGTCATTGGCAGAGCGCTTTTTCGCGCATAGCGTTGCGTTTCAAGCGAAGCGTAAAGGACGCATTTTTTGTGTGCATAGCATCACACTTTTATCGCAACATAAGAAACAGTAGGATGTTTAGGATGACGTATATGTGTATCTTTAGTAAAGCAACACACCGACTAATAATTAAGTATTGATGTTATCCTTCAGATGTGCGTAATATTTGCTTTTTGATCCGATATTGGGCACAAGTACGAACGCAGCCACCAGATCAAGATGGCCGGGCGTCGAGGACGAAGTGCTCAAACTCCGGCTGGGTGGCTGAATCGTGTGAGTGACAGACAGACAGACAGAGAGACATACAGAGAGACAAAAATCACAGCATGTGCCTGGAGTGAATGATGAGGAGTGGGGCGGAGCGGCCGTCCATCTGTCTGTCTGTCTGTCTGTCTGTCTGTCTGTCTGTCTGTCTGTCTGTCTGTCT